TTCGTTGTATCCTTACTCTGTTTACTGAATATATACCTTTTTCCATAAATAAGAATATCTATTAAGGTTAAATGTAAACATAATTTGTAAAGTTTAACAAACTGACATATGACTTGTAGCATTCAAAAGTACACACCTGATAGTCACGCATAGTGCTGTAAATCAATTAAGACTGATTATTCTGTTTACTTTCATCGTTTGGTAAACGTAAGTAAGAGAAGATTAATGACATTTTCTTGATAAATTATTTGATTTGAAATTAAATGCATAGATTAGATCTTATGTAGTGTGATATGTTTTATGTATTTCTATTTCATTTCATAGGAATTTACATTTTTGTTTTCGTAAATGTGTAAGGGAAGTGTGATTTTATTTAAATTAACAATTTCTTGATGATTTGTTCATTTAATGAAGCAGGATGATGATGACAGTTGAATGATCGTTCCAGTTTTCGCTGTTTAACTGTTCATTACTCTTTTTCTTGTTATACTGTCATTATTCCTTTCTTAATATCAACTGGAGGAAAATCTCTTTTAATAGTATATATTAGTTACTTGAAAATACTGATCTTGTGGATTAAATATAATAATAACTTTAATGTAGAGAAGTTATTGGGATATTTTGAGCATTATTAAAATTTTGTCATGAGTTCCGAAGTTTTCTTATACTTTTCTTTTTTCTTTCTAAACCTAAACTTCTCTTCTACCAGTAATTCGGTTACTACTTTTATTGCTGTCAAATTTAATATTATAATTTCACCTCATCACTGTGCCGATTCTGTGTGACAACTTGAACCGACGTGCATTTGTCCCAAGTTCCACGTCACATATTACTGACTAACTGATTGACTGACTATAAAATTCCGTATTCTTTATGTTCTTTACAGTAGTTCCTCATAATTATCGCCAATATTTATTTTAAAGTGTGAAAATAATAATAAATTTATTAAAAGGAGACATCAATATAATATTATGATTAGATACTGTGTGTTTTTGAAATAATATTTGCATTCAACTGGATCATTAAATAGGTGTGATGTTCCATACTGACAGAGACAGCATAAAATGAATTCATTGATCCGTATGTTAATTGTAGTGAGTAAAATAGTTAATTACATAGATCAATATACTTATTTTTAGAGTTTGATCTATTTCGGTTTGTTGGTGATACTACGATCTAGCAGAATAACTTAAAACAACAGGGAGCTTTAAAATCTGACAGGTCTGTTTCAGAGGTCTTTGTTGGTCTATAAATACCATTAAAGGTAGCTAAAATATCTAGTGCCCCCAAATGCCCCGGCACGGCCGAGAGTGGGGAGAATTCGCTCTCCCTCTCAAAATGCTCTCACATGGTCACGCGTATATAGCCTCTTCCAGGGAAGTCCTACTCACTGCCTTCTCGTAGTGAGAGTGTTGTTTGCGAAATTGACAGGACGAAAAGCGAAAATCCGGCGCTTTAACTGGGTTGGTGGACACGGAGAGTTCATTGAGGGGAGTTGGAAAACCCTGATTCCAAACCTATGATGCACATGGGCTCCAGCACCCTGAGGAAACAAATGGAGTATGAACCAATTGTTGGTCATTGGCTACCATGGGACTGCATCTCCTTACGATGTTTCACTGCCTTGTGGATCAGACCTTTAGGTCGGAGGCTCCGGGTGTGGCCCCCTAAGAAAACCACCTGCTTCGGTTTGGGCACCCAGGCAATATTACAGCCCACACAAAAACCAAATGAGATTTGTGTGGCGCATATATATCTGGTGCCCCCTTGTACCAGTATTTATGTGTTCAAATAAATAGTAAATAAAAAAATATCTAGTAAAGCCTCAGAGGTGAAGGTACTCTAATCTGACGGTCATCGATCGCTAATTATATCAGTTTATGAGGAAGAACATAAATCCTATGATAATAAGTACTGTGCAATCACATTAAACGGTGCAGTGTCCAAAACTTCAGTTTCCACAATCATCCAACTTCTGTGGAGAGCTTGTGAATAAAATCTCGAGGAAATCAAGTTTCATTCAGACATGGGTGTTTATAGATTGGAGAAGTTTGTATTCTTTCTCTTGATAAGATTTAGGACACATTTATCCAAGCCGACCCCTGGCTGTTGTTATATTCTTTGTATTTGGAACATTATTTCCTGATCTTATTTTAATCTTTGGGTTGTAACAATATTTATATCCTGTCAGTATTATCCATTTTATTTGGTTTAGTACCATTATATAAACTATAATCAACTATGCTTTTTTACGGTGCGTGCTGTTGATGATGTTAGAAAACATCTTGGGTTGATTTATATTTCCACTGTTGGACTGACACAGAAAATGGAAACGTCGTGATATGAAAAACTTTGTTGTTTTCATAACCTTTAGTTTTGTTATTTTAGCACCGATGTTATTTAATGGACAGAAACTCATATATTTCAGCTTTTGTTTTAAATAGTATTCAAACCTAAGGATTAGGGAGAGATTCGGTTGTAAAATATCTCTTACCTATCTTGGTATTCAAAAATATTTAAAGAGTAACTGCACTTTATAAACCGGACTAATTAAGTCTCATTTCCCTCACCCAATTACCCACACGTCTCGTCTCTAATTCAGACACAATCATTTTATGTTATCAACTAGTGTAAAATGTTTCACAATACACTGAATCCTCTGTATACTATGAAGCCTTAAAATAAATACCGGATTTTTCTTACGGATCATTCAATAACATATTTACATAATTGCATTACTTGTACCCTATAGTTTTAACTTTTCACATTTTATGGTTTAGAAATATGTTAATGAATTGTTTCGTTGTTATGAGTAAAAGAACTATATTTTAGTTCGTAACTCTACTATCGAAACAAGTATAAAACGTTTCAGTAGATAAACTTATCAGTTCTTGACAGAAAGAAAGAATTCCAGTAACTTATTTCAAATTAAAATGAATCAATTGCTTTCAGAGGTGCTACTGATTGTTTTTATAAATACCGACTGTGCGTAAAGTGCTGTGCGGTTTGTAGTAATTGTTATTACATGTATCTATGTATTTGATATAGGTTGATGTTTAGTCTCTTGATGTTGTTAATTTCTGTAATTGGACTAATCGTCGTTAATTTTTACATCTAATATTAATTTTTATATAAATACTACTTAGTAAGAAGTTAATAAAATATTACTGAACATATTGTTTAGTTACATAGGTTTGTAAGATTAGACTTTTAAGAAATCTTGATAGATTTGGAGGAATTGTATAAATAATCTTGCAATCAATATGTGCATCTGTAAAGTGATTATAATGGATTGAATGTTCAAGTATAAAACTCCTAACCAATTTCCTCTGTTTTTTGTAGAATCAAAATGGAGTATGATCTCGTAACCGAGTTGTAAACAACCCCTGTTCTTGTGGAGCAAGACACGTAGGCTGTAGTCGGCGTTTGTTTTCAATTCCGATACGAGAAAATATTCCATTTCGATTCTACAAAAGTAAGAAGAAACAGGTTTGGAGTTGTTTACTTGAACATTCAATCCATTATAATCACTCGATTGATCCATATATTAATTTCTAGATTATCTATACGATTCATCCAAATCTATCAAAATTTCCTCAAATTCAACTTATTCAAATAGAAGAAACTCTTGTCATTCATGAAACAAAGCCTGGACTGTGTGTATAAGTACTTTTTTTGCTGCCTTTACCGTGATAAACCATTATTATAAGTACATTGATTGTTTAATTCGGGTTGGTTGCATTAAAACCGTCTGTATGAAAAATGAGAACTAGGCAGCACATGAAAAAATAATTCACTTCAATTCATAAATTCTTAGCGGTATATTCTTTTTTTTTACACTCAACGTAAACATTTCACTGACTCATAAGTACCTTACAACTAACAAACAGTTTGAAGTTCGGTGTGCGTTATTTTCCTAATTCATGTACTTTTTAAAACTAATGCGAGATAATGAGTTGCTGATTCTTCGAGTGAGTCCGGCTTTCGATAACATCTATTTCAAAATCTTTTAGTTATAGACCAACAAATACAGTCAGTCTGTAGCATATTTAGATCGTTGCTGGCAGTTAAATCCAAGTATTCTAGACTTGTTGTTTGATGGTAATATCGTATCATACGCTCAGAGTGTCAACAGAGATTGATCAATTATAGTCCTGAATGTCAACAAGTGGATAGTACATATCCTTACAAGTAAATACAATGTTATCAGAAATAATATATAAGTGAAGTCATTATTTATTGTTCGATTTCATTTTCGTTGATTCCTTAAAGTTTGTTTTTCTAATCAAATGTTTAAAGTGTTGATCAGTTTGTAGATTTGATTCACTCTTGTGTTTGTTGTTTGAATGGATTAAAATTTCACTCCATTACACAAGCTAGTAGCTATTAGGACTCAGTAGTTAAGTCGATAACGTGATGGCGTTTGGAGCGAACGGTATTGAGTTTGAGTCTCGGAGTGGGCATGAAGTCTGGTATGCGGGCACATCCGGCTGATGATTCCCGAATAGGACGAAACGCGCTTACTGGATTCCACTGCTAGCCACCATCCATCCTTGCTTATAAAGTTTGTAGATTGTTTTTTATTTGATTCTGGTTGGTTGACTACTGAAAATAAACAAGCAGTTGAATACGTTTTAGTCCTAGCTTGAAATTCATTATTATTAAATATTATATTAGGTCACCTTGTCTAGCTACTACAACACCAAACTAACTGTATATGAACAACTTGACTGATGTAATAAATGACGACAGTTCTGAGGTGTAAATAGTTATTTACATTTCTTGGTTATTTGACTAGTTCTTTTGCAACATTTTCCAGTAAGTAAACGGTTTACTAAGACTGACTTATTATGTTAAGACTATGGACAATAAAATAGATAATGTATTTTTACAGTTAATCATCTTTTCAACTACTTAAATACATTATCTTTATGTTTAATGATTGTTAGCTGAGACTAATTCGATTGTTAATTTTCTTTTATGTTTTTTCCTAATTACAGGGAGTTAAAAACTGAACAACCAGTTCCCGATCTGTTAATAATATCCATTATTTCCGTTGTACTTACAATATTAGCAGCTGTCATTTTACTTGCTGGTTTACGTTTCCTGTGTCGTCGTCGTAGATTGTTCCGTCGAAGACGAGGACAGTATACAGGTGGACAGTCAGTCTAAATATAATTTATGTTACCAAACGAAAAAGTTAACAATGGCAATTCTCGAAGATTTATTTTTTGTGAATAATGAATGAATAAAAACTTTGATCCAACTGTTTTTCAAAGTAGTTTTTGCGATTTTCTCCTTTCAAATAATTTGGTCTTTTATAGACATCAAACTGACTTTGATGAACTACTATTTTTTCCCATTGCTTATTAATCATTTTTATTATTCTATTCTTATTTCTTACAGCTTCTTTGTCTATTCTGATTTGCTTTTAAATATTATGACACTCTATTTTGGTAGTTTGCTATTCTCCACCTCTTTCTCCCATATATAGAATAAACTGAGTATCAATAAGTAAACATTAGAGACCATTAGTTTGTATCACTACTACTGTTGTTGTTTTCGGTGATCGCATTCTCGTAAATACCTTCAAAGGGTTATATTTGAACGCTGTTTTCTTTAGATATATTCATGTATTCCTTTATTTTTGAGGTTTTGCTTGGTGTATCTTTTTTTTGAAAGTTTATCAGCCTGTTGCATTTTGTTTTAATGTACTATATTTTTTACATGGTATTTTTGCTTTTTTTTAAATATTACATTAACGTCTTCCATAATGTACTTGTTTTGTGTGTATGTAGTGGTGGATTTTTCTACAACTTCAGTTCATCAATCATTTGTTCTATCTTGATAATTTATCCAGTTTAATTTAATCAATAAAACAATGTTTTATGAGTTAACATAGTTGAAATTTATAGTCCTGATAAATAATAATTCCTTATGGATGCAAATAAGTAAATAACAATTATTAAAAATGACGACGAATTAAGTTATAGTATGTAGTTAAAGTGAGATTATTGAGGTAGCTTTGTGGTGTATGCTACTTATATATGTTGACATAAGTAGTATGTGACACCAATTGCACGTGAAAAACCTGGTAGCAGAAGTCTATGAGGGTCGACTTGAAGAAAAAAGAAACGTGATTAGAAAGTGATTGTGAATCGAAAAAATCTTATACAATGTGAGAGACATGATGGAAATTTGCAAATTAAGTATTCAATGTACGGTTCTCATATTTCGCCAAGAGATTCTGTAATTTTGGTAATGAGACATTATTGGTTGTCTACACTTGTGTTCTAGTTCCCCACAGCTCATTCCCTTTATTGAAAATAATGAAACTAGACTGATAGTATTTGATTTGAACTAAAGTAACTAAACGAACATATCAATGTTGATTAATTATTGATCGATTAATCCTGAAGGATGCTATTCACAACGTGAATTGCTCAGTGGTAACTTCCTAGTCTGTAGCATTAATTAATTTGGGTTTGAATTCCATAGGAAGAATCGGCTCTTCAAAAATTGTAGTTTTGCTTTCAATGACAAGTGATAAGAAACATAGATCCAATGTTTCCTGCTTGTTACTTTCAATCAATTAACATCAAAACTTCAGGGCTTGTTCTATAGGTCGGTTAATCGGCTAATGTTATACCCCAGTGAAGATTAAATAATGGGTAACTTTTAAGAATTATCGATGGACTAGTACTATATATATATATATATATATATATATATTATTGCATAACTATTCAGTAACTAGATTACATACATCTACACCTTTTATTATAAGCTTTATTTTGACTCATAGACTATTATGTTACGGTTTACTACTTTTAAATTATACTCAGTTTATTATTTACAGTCTCCCACGTTCATGGCCACCTTTTGGTTTGATCCTGTATAAGTGTTATTTTATGGTGTGATGTGGTCTGTTAGGCTATTATATAAACCAAGTATGTTTTAAATAAATAACTCGCATAGTGTACGCTGGTGTTAGTGTTCTGGACTCAACTGAAATGGCCAGAAAAACAAAGGATTAATAAGGACGCTAGGCCGCTCATACCGGTCTAACGTCATTAGTTGGTACAGTGCTAAGATAGTATAAGTCGTATCCCGAGTGGTGGATAAGTCACGTGATAATTAGCCGGACTTAAAGACACAACAGCTAATTATTATTAATCTCTCTCAGTGGATAACATCGATTTTTCTAGATTTTACTAGTAAAAATAACTGTACCCAATTCTGTCACATTCTATTTTTCCAATCACTCAGTCAATTTATGATTACTAATAACCGGTCACCTAACTAAAGTTTTAAAACATACATTTAGACTTCACTTCGACAAATTTCTATTTCAGTAGTTGAGATCATGAGTAAATTGAAGCTAGACCATCATGGAAAACCTGGAAGCTTCAATTAACTCATGATCTCAACTATTGAAATTACTACATCCTCCACAAAACCCCTTCTGTTACATTCCTATTTGTTTATTTACTTCATATTTGTGATCATGTTAAGTGTTAAAATATTTACTTAACTAGAGCACAAATTTACTAGGTATCATGGTCCTTTATTCTTTCCATATTTACTTAAACCAACCCATGTAAATTGATCATTTAGTTATGAGTCAGTACACTTCCCATAAATAGCACACGTATGATAATGTAATAACAAAGTACATTTTGTAAAGTTTCTGTTTTATCTAATAGTGGTATAAACAACTTGGAATATTTTTCGGTAATTGATACGGTTCTTTTTTGAGCTTTTTCATAGGTTTTTGATTGATTTTATTAATGGTTTGTGGTTTTGTGCCCCATTAATATATAACGTAATGATACCGCTGTTAACGTGGGAGGCAGTAGTCAATAAACTGAACATAACTTAAGAACCGTAAATCGTACAATAATAATATATAGGTCAAAATAAAGCTTATAACAGGGGGAATATAGATAACGTAACAGATTTACATAAAATTACTGATTTAATAAACTTTATGAATATATAAACACTTGAATATAGACTGTAACTATTTGTTTATAGAAATCTATTGGCTTTTATTTCGACAATATTAAGCTTGTATGAGTAATTATTGTCCAGAAATAAACTTCACAATGTATTCCATATCTCATGCTGATCTCGTTAGCTTGATCTAAACTGGCCGAAGGCAAGCTGCCAACTATTAACGTCGTTTCAATAGCCCATCATGTATACTTACTACTCATCACGTTTGGCTCAGACCAACTCATCTGTCTCGCTCTTACCAACTTCTTTGCTTTAATAAGTCTATTATATCCACCAGAATAGTGTTGTCTTTAATAGCGATTCATTTAGTGTACATAACATATCAAAGAACCCGGTATTGGAAGCTTGATATCAATATTGCATAATTCAGTTATATAGAACACAGCCAGACTAATCAAATGTCATAGCCGACATATCATTGTCACTCAGATGGAGCATTTGATCTATTATAAAAGACTTTGATTTTTCATTACAGTAACATCTTGACTGATATGTATTCAACTATAAATAAAGTGTGATTAAGTAACTTGAATGTTAGTTTTTCATGAGGGAATCACTCTTCGGTGCTTGTGTCTCATGGTTAAATATAACGAAATAATGTTAATTTTTCAGTATCCATTATTCTACTTTAAACTTCGCAACCTAAATGATTCGCAAATAAAATAACAGATTTCCTCGGGTTCATATCAAAATCTTACTTTTTCACAAAACATGTTGAATCGTTTTCTAGTTTGTTTCAAGCCGAAGAAAGAATTCAACAACCGTTTTGTACTAGAACGATATTTTTCACTATTATATGTTTGTGACTGTATATACGTGAACGAAACGTGTTATATTTTTATCTTGCGATTAGTCAGTACGATTATAAGGCAGTTACTGAGTCAGAATACAATAGTCTTTATTTTATAAATCTATTTAGTAGTAAAAAAGTAGTATTAACTTTTATTACTGATTATTACTAATAGAAATCAGTTATTCAACACATAAATCACTGAAAAGTCAGTATTATATATATAAAGAAATTCTCTCTGTTAAAATTTGTCTTACCTTTTGTTCAAAAGTCTCTTCTATTCAGGTGAAAACAATTGAAGGTTTTTTTATTTCTAAACGAATAAACAACTACAAGTTTTGGTAATTGTCGACAAAATATTTGATCGTTAATGATTTAGTGAGAAATTTAGCTAATCAGTCAATTCATATATTGTTGGAATGATGGCTAAAGGATGACTGCTTACAAAAAATTTAGCTACAATTGTGATTATCAGAAAACCAAACAATCAATGAGTAGAATTAAATTTAATTAATGTGACTGTAGTGTAAGTGAAATCCTACATTATTAGAAATCACCATGAGTATAATGAGTGTTAAAATAAACCAGCTGGTAATCGATTGATTTACCCTGTGAATAGCATCCATAATTCTTGATCATCACATCATTTTAGTATGATTAGCTCGTCTAATTTGAATGGACCATAAAGCAAACATATACCAGCTATTTTCAACATTTTTCTGTAGGAATAATCCGCCGAAATCAGTCCATATCTGAGAATTTTAAATGGATAGAGCAATAGAATGGATGTACTGTGACCAACAGTAGAATTCAGAACTCGTGTTTCGTCTTATCTGCGATTCGTTAGTTGCATGTCCCACCATCACAGTGTTGATGCTCACATTTAGATTTAAACTCAACACTTATTGTTTCAAAGTCACTAACTAATTCAGCCGTATGATGTTTGTATTATAATTGGTGGTTTGTAGTATACTGTCGTTGAAACAGTAGTTCATCTAACTAAAAAAACTATCAAGCATCTATATCCAGAAGATGGAGATTCCAATTCTTTTCATACTTCGTTTTAACTTGAGTTCAATAAGTCAACAATCATCCTAATTATATGATCCAATACACTTTCTTATTTATATTTTATTTATTTTATTTTACTGAATAATTACTACCACTATCACCTCTTGGTCAAATCATTTGATGCGTTACACAATCGTTAGTTAAATATTTGGTATGATCATTGTATTTCTCAAACTACAATGCTTATACTTATTATTAATTGACCTGGAACCTGACTCAGGTGAATGGATTACACGTTAGTCATTTGACACTTACAAGCCACCGACTGCCCCGAAGTGTAATGTTTTAGGGT